TTACTACAATTGTACTTATCCTATTTTGCTTTTTGAGTACAATATAATCAAAAAACTCAAAAGAATACACTCAATCATAATTAATTAATGTAGATTATTATTTTTTCTTTGTTATAGCGGCTGAACAACAAGCAGCTATTGTCAGTCGAATGCGAAAATTGGAAAGTTTAACAGCTATCAATAACGTAGTATGTATACAGTTTCGGCCGAGAGTATCATCGGATGTGTATTACATTACTATACGAAATGGAGAAGGCTGTTACTCATATGTAAGTAAATGCAAACATTTCATTTTTGTTGTTACAAATGTTGTTTGGTTTTGTTTTAGATCGGACAAAATACAGGAGTCACCATGGAACGAACGGTTTCATTAAAATATCCAGGTTGTTTCGATGATGGGAGAATGATGCACGAATTTATACATACATTAGGTAAGCGTCATTCATATTTAACGGATGTTCATTCAACTATTTGAAGAATCTTAGAAAAATTTATAGTGAATCGTTTTTCCTCTTTTCTATTGAGAGAGAAAATCATAGAACATAAAAGTAGCAAATTTTATTTGAATAACAAAATTTGAAAACATTCATGGACTTCTCGTTTTGAACAGATATTGATTTGGTCAAATTCGAGTTTATATCTATTATTCAGCTTCTGATCAGGATTTTCTTCGATCACTTTAGAATGATTTCTGTTAGAGTGCAAATACAAGAAAAATTATATAAAAACAATCGAATACAATTCAAGAAAATGTTAATTTCTAAGGCATCGAAATAAAAAGAAAGTAGTGTATCATCGTCACAAATATTAATCCGTAAGAGAGATCAGTTGAGATAGTTTTTCAGTAATTACCTACATGGAACACATTTCTAATGAAATACTGCTTCATGATTAAAATGCATTGTTTTTCTCTTTTTAAAACAGGATTCTACCATGAACAATCACGACCTGATCGTGATTCTTATGTAAAAATTAATTGGAGGAACATGCAAACAGGTAGTGTTGGTTTTTTTTCTTATGAAAATGACATTTCAAAAAAAAACACTAATGAATTGCTTTCTGCTTTATTGTTCAGATATGAGGTCCAACTTTGAAAAATACGATAATACGGTGGTCAACACACTCAATACTGCGTACGATTATGCATCAATAATGCACTATGAAAAAACTGCATTTACCAACAACTTTTTACCAACAATTGAACCACTTCAAGCCAACGTCAAGATTGGGCAACGTTATAAGTTAAGTTCCACTGACATTCAAGAAATTCAACAATTCTATAATTGTTCAGCAGCTGGAACTTTATTAACAACAACGCCGACTTCAACAAGTAAAAAAGAATTTTTACACACGAATGACAGTTTGAAAAAAATAGTCAATAATTGGATATATATCTTATTAAACTTGATAAAATGTATCCAATACTTGATATCAGATGTTGATACTATACCAGCAGAGAAAGGCAAAAAGATATTAGAGAGAATATCAGACCATAAAATCGAACAATTAATGCATCACATAAGAAACACATTTTCTAAACTACTTCTTTTCCTAACCTATTAGATGATGTAGCAAATGATATACCGGGTGTGCCACAATGTTTGCAGCATGCTGTATTTTGCATATACCTCAGCATAGATAAATGATAAAAACCTTGATCTTTTTTCCAAAGATGCGCCGTGAAAAGCTCTACAAAAAATGCCGGAACAAAACTCTACTAACATGTTTTGATGATTTTTTCTATAGTCCAAAAGAAACATTTACATATTAGTGCTATTTTCCACAGTACTTATAATAATAAAAATGTTTGAAAGACCTTTTTGTTTTCCACTATGAATTGGCTCATACAGCTTTTGTAGAGCTGTCGACGGCCCATCTTTCGAAAAAAATATCAAGGTTCTATCATTTTCTGAAGCCGAAATATTTGCAAAATAAAAAAGTCTTGCGAACATTTTTATTATTATAAATACGGTGGGAAGTAGCAGTTTCATGTATTTTTTTCCATTTCAAGTAGGAAAGAAGCCGTCAGAACAACTCAATAAGTATTTGTTCTTACAGTTTTTGCAGAGCTTTTTATGCCGTATCTTTTGAAGAAAAATAATCAAAATTTATCATTTGTCTGTGCAGAGATATTTACAAAGCTAACTATGTTGCAAACATTTTTGAACACCCAGTGGCAACATCACGCACATCTTCACTTTTGACTATCTAGAAAAATCATCAGAGTAAGTCGATAGGGATTTGTTCATATAGATTTTGTAGAGCTTTCGATGGAGCATTTTTTGAAACAAAGATCAAGATTTTATCGTTTTCTGAAGATGAGATATATGCAAAATAAAAGAAGGTCTTCCAAACATTTGTATTATTATAAGTACTGTGGTAAGTAGCACTAATATGTAGGTGTTCCATTTTGACTATAGAAAAAATCATCAAAACATGTTAGTAGAGATTTGTTCCGGCATGTTTTCTAGAGCTTTTCACGGCGCATCTTTTGAAAAAAGATCAAGTTTTTTATCATTTATCTATGCTGAGATATATGCAAAATACAGCATGTTGCAAACATGTTGGCACACCCGGCATTTTCAGTTCCTATCTCGAATAAGAAGCAACACGTTTCATATTTTCGGAAGAAACACATAGCACCTTCTTTCATTAACATCTCATCTGTACTTTAACCACATGATCAAGCATGTACTACATACAGTTTTGTCTAGCTCCTATTTTTGTTGACCAAAATCGCCATCTAAGTGAAGCAGATTGACAAAATAGTTTTATTCGATTGATATCAGTTTCTGGGACTGATAAATGTCAAGAATGATGACTGTCAATCTATCAATAATATGAATTCCGACAATTTTTGTCTTGTTCATTCTACAGTCGCTCCATCTTTAAATCCATCGTACTATTCAAGTGACTTTACAATCAATCATCCAATATTCGCTCGTAATGGCGGTTTCGGAGCTAACTACTACTATGAAACTCTACGAGTGGCAGTGACAGCAAGTGGCTTGTATACTTTTCAATGCAACAGCTATATTGACTCATTCGCCTCCCTTTTTTCCCATAAATTTTAATTCATCCAGTCCAGCAACAAATTTATTTAGCTCATTTGATGATGCAAACAACGATAATTGGGAGTTCAATTTTACAATAAATTTTCCTTCTGCTTATACAATGGATTTTGCTATCACGACTTACAGTTCAGGTGTAACAGGACCATTCCAAATCGTTGCAACCGGCTCCAATAAAGCGACTTTTGCCAGGATAAGTAGCATCGCGAACCCAAGTACAACATCAACAACAAAACTGACAACAACAACAACAAAAACAACAACATCGACAACAACAACAACAAAACTGACAACAACTACAATAACATCGACAACAACAACAACAACAAAACCGACAACAACTACAACAAAACCGTCGACAACAACATCAACAACAACAACAAAACCGACAACAACTACAACAAAACCGTCGACAACAACATCAACAACAACAACAAAACCGACAACAACATCGACAACAGCATCGACAACTACAACAAAACCGACAACAACATCGACAACTACAACAAAACCGACAACAACATCGACAACAACAACAAAATCGACAACAGCAATATTCACAACTACCACAATCACGGCAGCTGGTAAGTAAGTCGAGTTTCGAGATTACCATTGAAAACATTATTGGTATTTCTATCATTATCTTTATGGAAATAAAAGATTTTCCGGTTCTTAGATGACGTTGCCTAAATAGCAAATTATTCAAAAAATTAGCAAAAGAGACACTTCTAAGAATATATCTATTAACGGGTTTTCCAAGAACCATCGATAGAGAAAATAGTTTTTGGGCTATTAGATATCTAAAGTATCGGCAATGTGACCTTTAAGTAAAATTCTTTTTTCCCTTTTTTTAGGTCATTTAATAGAGTGCGATATTTTGATCAGGAAAAACTATTTTTTAGCGCCAGCAAACGCTTCTTTTGAGTCGAAAAATCCAAGAAATTTAAAGAACGCCATTTTTTACGGAAAGCACATCTTTTTCCAAATGTGCAAAATCTTCTGCTTCGTTCTGTTTTCTAGCTTGTGAAAATACTTTTTTCTCATTCAGAATCAAAAATTGAATAGACAAGTGATTAAATTGAATTTAGCGACGAAACTCCTTTGATCGTTGCGCTTCAAGTCGCGCCAAGGGCGAAAAGTATACTGAGATCGATTTTGTAAACCTGTCTGATTTTTCTGCGTAAGTGATAAAGTCAAATATTTTAATTAATCATACCACCAGTGACTAAAGTATGCATTGAGCTTTTCTCTTGTCCTTGTTGAGAAAAACCGGTTTTTCTCAACAAAGAAAAGAAAAGAAGAAGAAAAACGTGATGCGTACTTTTGTGACTCATGGTATTATGAGTTGAATGAGATAAACTATTTGACTTCATCAATTACGTAGAAAGGCCAGATAGGTTTACAAAACGGACCTACGTATAAGGTGTGAGTATGAGTCTTCGATTGAGATACACTCTAACGCACACTTGTATTTGAGTGTGACATGGAATATTATAACTTCTGGTTATTTCAGCTTAAGAACTTTCGGTATTTGCACAGATTAAGTAGAATCTTTTCTGTACATTATTTTATAGAAAAAAACATGAAAACTTAAGTAAATATTATTTGTATCGAATTGTTCTAGCATTTTTGTTTTGTAATTCTTACATCAATCTTGTTATCTTCTAAGAAATATTCTTTGTAAATTTTTCAAATAACATTTATTCATCATCATCGTCGTCGCCAGTATATTGAAGTACACAGTCATTGTGCTGTTCAAAAATGAGACTAACTCGAGTAAAAAGTTTTATGAAATAACTATGTAGTTATGGCAAATAGTATTACGGATTGGAAATCTCATTGGCTGTCTGTTTGCACAAAGACAAGAATAAATTTATATTATCTACTGAAAAATACATAGTAGATTTTTTTTTGCTTGACTTATTGATACAGGCCGTTGGTCAACGACAGGATCACTTGCAATATCACGTGCTTATCACACATCAACGGTTCTCCTTAACGACCGTGTCATTACCATAGGAGGAACCATCAATGGCAATACCGTTGAACTTTACAATACAACGACAAAAATCTGGAGTGCAGGCCCATCAATGTTCGATGCTCGAATTCTTCACACTGCTACTCTGTTACCCGATGGTCGATTAATTGCAACTGGTGGTTATTATAACAGATATCTCAAAACAGCTGAAATCTACAATCCTACAACCAATACCCGGTCAACTATTAGCAGTATGAATACGGCTCGATATGGACATCAAGCTATCTATTTGCCAGCACCATCGAATAAATTATTGGTGATGGGTGGAGTTGGAAACAACAGTGTTATGTTACAATCATGTGAATTATATGACTTTGCTTCGAATACGTGGACGTATACAACTTCGATGATTGAAAAACGGGTATACTTCACAGCAACATACCTGCCTTCATTGAGCAAAGTATTAGCTATAGGAGGAACTGCTACCTTGTATGGTTCAGCCGAAATGTTCACTGTATCATCCACTCAGTGGATCCGAAGCTTGAACACAATGGCAAACGATAGATACTTTCACACGGCCACATTGATTCCAGCCACTGGCCAAGTGTTGATTGTAGGTGGTTATGAGAATCCAGATAAGACTTACATGTTCAACCCCACAAACAATTCTTTTACAACTGCAGCAAGTCTTGGACAAGGACGAATAGAACCTACTGCAATCTTATTGCCATCAGGCTTAGTACTGGTCGCTGGTGGGTCCTTCAACAATACCTTGCTTTATCGTTCGGCTGAAGTATATGATTATCGACTGAACGCATGGCGTCCTGTAGCGACCATGAACTTAGCACGATTTCACCATACAGCAGTTTTGTTGAATAATTCTTCCTTGCAAGCACCACTAGTGCTTGTCACCGGAGGACTGATAGAAAATGGTGTGTCCACATCTAATTGTGAAATATTCAATATAAATGGTTAACAAAATAGGTTTTGTCGACTGCGCGAACAATTAAAGATCTGATTTTTATTATTTCTCTCATTTCTATTCAAAAAAAAAAAATTTCATGAAAGCGTTCTTTTTACTAAGCAAATAAATTCTTCAATATCAGTATAATATAGTAGTAATTTTGTTATTAAAAATATTGATAATAGATGAATATATCAAAATCATTTTTTTTTAATTTTTTTAGCCACAATGTTTCATATGTTGAAATTTTACTCTAACTTTGAGGAAATATTTTTATTGTTTAATATAGAAAGAGCTATAATATTGGACTGTATCAGCAAGACAAACACATATGCTGACTTTATATCAAATGAAACTGATTTTTAATAATATACTACCGATTGAAACTTAGTTTTTTTCGTCTCATTGATAGTATAAACTGCTAAAACAGTGTCATAGAAGTTTTGGGACGATTTTGAATGTTATTGTTTATGCGTAGCGTAAGAACAAATACTTTCACGTTTTGGAGGATTTTTGTACTGATTTATTGTAAAAGAAACTATAAAGTTTGGAGTTATGTTGATATCTTTGAGTATTATCAAGAAGCCATAACTACTTAGATTATCATATCTTATTTTGTCAATTTTGTGAACCACGACCTGAAAGGAGCGTGGAAGTGTTTAGGGGCAGAAATTTGCCCCCCCCCCCCCCACAGACCGTGACAGAGAATCCAGGTACCCGTCACAGACTGTGGCAGAGAATCCGGGTACCCATCACAAGCCGTGACACAGAAACTAGTTGTAAAGCATCATATAAACGGTTAGCTACAAATGTAGCACAACATAGTTGAACGATAGAATTTCCATTCAATAAGTAATAGTAGAGTCGTCGTGTTTCACATTTCTAATCCCGCAAGGGATTGCACTAACAGCTTTTTCAAAAATAATTAAAACTGATAAAATGAGATTAAAAACATAGTAGATAAAGTGTTACCCGTTTTATTCATTGATACGTGCTGAAATAACAACACATTTTCTGCACAAAAACATTTTTTTTCAAGCATATATTCACGAGAAGGATAAGGTTAATATTCTAAAACAAAGAGAAAATTTAACACGAAGATCACAGGTATTCGATGAAAGTACAACAAAATGTTCACTTTGCAATTCTTATACCTAAATTAAGTATTAGTATTATTCAGTTTGACCAGATCACAGCAGTCATTTCTAGATAAACAACTACGTAATATGCATGATAAAGCCAACAGAGCTAGAACGTTTTTCACGGCATACGATGAAAATCTCAACAATGTATGCCATTCTTGCAAGTTTCAAGTTTTCAATCAAATAGTTGCTCCTGTCACTCATGCCCATTAGTGTGCAACTTAATGAAAGAGTAATATGCAATCAATATATCATAATTAATATTTCTATCAAACCATGACGAAAATAAGACACATGAATTGTTCGTGCGAATTGGAAATTTCTAAATGAATAATTACTCGTGTCGTTCATGCCCACTAGCTGTAGAGTTGCACAGAGCCTCGAGTTTGTTTAACATGTGGCTCAGAATAGATGACCACCTCAATATCTCTATCGATTTTCATCGTTTCGGACGGAATTTCGCAGCACGGTTTAGCGTTGAATATTTTAGAAAACCATTAAAAAAACCGTGGTGTTATAGATATCAGAAGAAAAAACTGCTGATATGATACTGTGATCATGTAACATTGACTGTTTTCAAGATTTAGACTCAGCTTTTTTGTATTTTACCTAGTGAACAGTTTTAAGGATTAAAACTAGAAACTGAAAATAAATCGAACCAAACTCGAACCAGTAAAAGTAGCTTTAATAAGGTCTCTAATTAAAACCGATGAAAACTTCAAAATTCTATGAATCTGATGAAAATTGATAATCCGATTGTTATGAAACAGAATCAAAAAGGACCCTACGCGTTAAGATGCCAAATCTGCCACCCGCCAAAGGTGACAATTTCATGTCATAATTTTGTAGCTTCGACCTAGTGACACATTTTGAAATATCATTTTTTTCCAATGTACTTTTACTTACCTAGATAAGCAAAAATCTTTATCATTATATAGCAAGAACCAATTGGGACCCTGAAACCGCATTTTTCTCAATCAAGAAGAAAGATTTTACAATTCTAATTTCATATTTAGAAACAGTATTATAGACCTTTTA